TGCTGACTGTTCACCTTATAACAGAAAATCAGCTGACTCTCCGTCATACTTACCTTTATCCCCAAATCAAACGTCCAATAAAAAGGAACAAGGAGCTGCTGTTAAACTTCCTAAAACTGAATTTCAAACACGTGAAGAATTAGTTACCTGTATCGAAGAACTTCGAAAACTTGTGAGTTTTTTTTGAGGGAAAAACAAATGATATTTATCCAACTTAATCACTTGTTCAGAAAAGTTTCCTAAACTCGTAATCTCATCTCTCCTCACCCAGCGAAAACTGCATATCCTAAGTCAAACTTTTGACTCCAGTTATACATGTATGTCACAGAAACAAGCAAGACAATTACTACGTTTTCGACTTCACATCTTTAATCCATCAAGGGTCACTTATCTGATGTTTCAGTTTTTGTAAAAATGGAAAAGTGATGCCTCTTTATTGTTTAATATCACAATAAATTGTGAATAGCAACGAACATAAACTTGTTCCTCAGCTTCTGTTCTGCTTGTCTGTCACGCTACCTAATCTAATAAGAGGGTTATGGTAAACCATATTTTCATTGTAATCTATCTGCCGTCTCATCTTGTCACGGTCGTTAACTTCTGGATAGATTAACTAATCCATGAACAAACGTGTATAGGGTATTTGGAGACTTAGATCTTCGGGATTATTTTTACCCATACTCCTGAGTAGTTTTCAAAACTTACAGCTAGAAATATCTTCGAACCCGACTATATAGTGGAAATTTTGTGTTTGTATATATAAATCAACTATGTTGTAGAGGGTATATTAATTCATAATTAACCTAAAAGGTTCGATTTGACGTGAAGATAGCAGCAGTTTTGATTAGAAACTCCTAACAGAAATTTCAGAATATTTTATGGAGTTCTGGCGAATAAGTATTTGTTGAGACACTCATCCTAATGAGTTTTGAGCAGGATGGTGAATAGAGATAAGCTGAAGAAAAGTGGTTACAACTGTTTTGAGCAATAATCTGAAAGAAATACAAATTCATTTAGATAAATAATTGACATTTTATCTATTCATTAATGGAATTGGTCTTGTTTCACTAATTCCTATCAATGTAATCCAGTTGTTAATTTCACTCGAATTCATCTCTTGCGTGTACTAATTTAAGGTAAGACCACTTTTCTGATACATTTTTCCTTTCCCCCCATGTTTATCTCTTTATCCAACTATTTAACTCCATCCTTCGTTTTAAGACCTCACTTCACCGGCTTAGTTTAGATATTAAGGTGCAGATTACGCTATTAGTCTCCAAAAAACAGTTATTTGTTGATAATACTCATTTTCCCACGTACATGTTACATACTTGTCTTTAAACCACTTATGTGAGCAGCTCATATCATTTCACAGCTGCTTGAACCTAAGTTAATGGAGGAGAGGGGAAGTAGCCTAGCAGTTGAAGTGCTCGACTTTCAAACATTAGGTCACAGGTTCCTACTCTTCTAGACTTACTTCTGTTCAGTCACTTAGGTAGAATTACTAACCCTTACACATAAAGTGTAGCTCAAGGCTGAAAATCCAATCCCATACTGAAATAGTGTATCAATTAGTCAGTCATCAACAAATATTGCATCACTTTAATAATTACTCTGAATAAACATCTTCCTGGTTCCCAGCTATCAAATGGGATATCAGTACTTTGTTCTTACCGTAGGAGCCAAGTGTTTATGTAGAATTTACTGTATTTTGCATAATTGAATCTATTTTTAATGCCAGAGATTTTTGGAAATTTTCAAATTTTATAGTTTACTTCACGAACTGACTTTAGTCTGAAGTCATTTTGTAATGTAAGCTATAAAGTTCAATCGACTTTGGCTTCCAATCAATCTACATAACTGCACGTATCGTAATTATAATGCTACGACTGTAAATTGTTGTCAGTAAAAGTGACTAGTTCCTGCAGTTATTATATCTCAACGAAAATCAACTAACTACCGTCTGGTTAAAAAATTTTATCAGTGTGTTTTAAGGTGTGATGATCTTGTTTTCTCCTACTGAACTTTTAAGGTGGACATGTTGGCATCCCAGCTCAGTCGAGTTCGTCAAATGCTTTCAGAAGAACGTGAACGTCGTCTTGCGATAGAAGCGGAACTGATATCTTCAGGTGGTTTTAATTATCAATCCAATGAATCCTTCACCTACCACAATTACGATGATGATGATGGTTTTGATGAAAACAGACCATGTGTTTTCACAGACCTCACGAAACTTACATGCTTAAACTTTAATACAGCTGCGCCAGATTTATCTAATGACGATTCAACTTTACGTGAACCACATCAAGCGTCAAGCTCTAATGTGTCAGACTCATTAGAGTCGAAATAATTGTATCGTAATTATTGTGCATCATGCTGCAATCTTTTTTGCACAGAACATCATTTCCGCTACGACAGCTCCCCCGGTGTTCCACTCAATATGAAAAAGAACCAGTCGTTTCACAGCTGATTTCCAATAATTATACTTACGGGCTAGCAATTTAACATGGATCATTTATCGAATGATGGATTTTCGTCATCAATGAACGCTGTGTTTCATTCAAACCACTATGTATGCATTTTCTGCCTTGTTTGTTCTTTTCTTTTCTACATATTTTTTGGATAGTATACAGTATGACGACGACTATAAATCTTTTTTATTTTACTTCCTTTAATATTCAGATGAACTGTATGATGTCTTTCAAGCAGAGAGTAATAATTAATCCATTCTTTTGTTTACAACTGTTTCCATTAACGAAAATCGATCTGTCTTTCAAAAAGTGTAATAGTAATGACTTTCATTATTCTCAACCTAAAATACTGATAAAACTTCACATTATTTTTTACATAAATTGATTTCGCAAAAATATCCTACGTTTCATTCTGTTGAAGACTTCTAATAACTGATTTATCCACCCTAAATTTCCATACGGTTACAATGTAAACAGATACGATATACGAACTTTTTTCATTAATTAAAGCGGTAAATCCTCCCTTTATCCGTATAGAATAATCTTAATTTATATCGTGCGATCGTAGTTAGAAGAAATTGACCTATGGTAACTGCTCCAGTTTGGTTGAACGAGTTATCACATCCAAAAATCTGAAGACGGTGTTGTTGTGTCGTAGTTCAAATTGTTATATGCAGTCCAAGTTAGGTAAAATATTCATGACGGACACTGAAGTGAGGACGATTTCGCTAGTAGTAATAGCGATGGGACAGTAGCCAAAAAGGTAAAGCGGGTATGTTAAGATTATGAAGTGTTATGAATTATGGGTGAGACTATAATTTATGGACGACCTTTGAGCGACGCTAGACTGACCTTGAGAGCGTCCACCTAGTAACCAGGACAAATGAGGGTTATAAACCTATGTGAAGAATTAGAATTATGATTTACAGTTGATGATTCAGGTTAGAAATTAGATTTATGGTTTTCATCGCAAACTGACATCAGTTATAATGCCAAAACTCTATTTAGCCAAATGGATGAGTGGATTTCACGCCAAAATCCGAGACGTTATCATATACGTGGTTGGTCCTTCCATAAATTATAGTCTCGCCGAATTATGATTTATAGGAAATGATGAGCAGTAGTAGGGAAAGAAAGAGCCAAAAAATGGAGATAAGAAAGGTTGTAGTAGAAAATGTTTTAGACATATCAAGGAAACAGGTACAGAATGCTGTTGGCATCTAACCTTTCAGAAATTGATCCACCAGCAGATCGTATTATTGACTTAGAATATGCAGATGATATAATCTTGTTTGCTGAAGCTGACCAAGTGCAGTTCTCTGATCGCCTTGAGCTGCACTGTAAGCATATTTGGGTTGCAAACGGTGCTTCAGAAGTGACTTGCATCAACACCCGAAGTGATGATAGAAAGTCGATCACTACTCAACTTGTAATTTCTATCATCCTTGGTGGATTCACATCTCATGAGATCTTGGGATGGATTCGGGAATCCCGATGAGCCTTTGCCAACGTACATCACTTGTGGTGTAGGCGAGATATCCATGTATCAACCAAAGGACAAGTTTCCCATACAGCAGTTCGTTGTTCTATTATATGAATGCGAAACACGGCCGTTAGAAGAGACGATATGCATAGGTTACTAAAATTTGATCAGATATCTTTGAAGCACTGTTCGTGTATTTTAGGACCAACAAGTGAGCAACGCTGAAGTTAGATGCAGGGTATTGGGAAAAATGGCAAGTCAGTTGACGATGTAGTCAGTATGCATTGCGTATGCTCAACCACTGTCCACCTCGGTGTGCGATGAAGGCTGGAGTACGTTAGAAAGCTAAGGATGGCCAAACCAAAACGTGGCATCAGCCCATTGACTGTTGAAAAGTATGATTAGAGATGCAGGACCTTTAGGCGTGGTCTGGGAGACAAACTCTATCAGTTCCCTGAGACTTTGAGTGACATTGTTCATAAACATTAACAGTGGCATAAATACATTCATTTTCCGTCGTTCCTTAGACCCTGAGTTTGAAAAATATCTCATACGTTTTGTATGTAAATTGATTACCTCATCAAGTCATATTGCTAGTGCCTAATATGTTCTATTACCGCTGCTATTACTACCACTATCACTCTGGCTTTTGTCTTGATAATTTTGTCTCATTGTGCATATACGGTAGGCCAACTTGAACTGAAGAACGCATGGTACAAGGTCCTACTTTAGTTATAATTGACTGAGAAAATAGAGATTAAGCATACATTCAGCCAATCCGTGACCTTATTATTTCCCAGATGCATGTGTTCCTTACCGCGCATACTTCCGCCATGGAACTTATATAGCTGACAAAAACACAAATTTTATGCAGTGGTATTGCGATCCTCCGTACATCTAGACTAAGTAATCATGGTGCAACAATCGTATGACGCTTAGAAAACTTTATATGACTTCTACTCTCTGGGCTCATATTTAACGGTCTCATGGTCAGATGTAGAGTTATATCTTACAGAAATCCAAATTGTTTGGTTAAAGCAACCGAATAATTAGAAAACAAACAATTTATTGTAGATTTGATTGGTAGACTATACCAATAATAAGAAAAATAGTATCTTCCAAAAATCAATATTTTATTTAACAGAAGCAAGAAAAGTATTTCTGTACGAATAATTTATCCAAGTTAAACTAATGGTCTTTGCCATGACACTGACGTTTTTTTCATTTCAACCAGCTGTTTACTGTATCTTTCGTCATAGTAATCGATTTACCAAAAACAGTAGGTTGTACTTGTACAGGATGAAGACGTGTAATGAATTGTTTTAACTCCAGAAAACTACTATGTTCACTATATGATGCACCTATTTTAAATATACAAAAACAATAAGTCATTATTTTAATATAGAAATATTAGAAGCATTATTACTACTAAATTATGTGGAAATAAAACTTTCGGAATCCCTGCTATTTATAAAGGATATATTTTGATTTATTAAAGAGAAAGTTAGCTAGATAAATAATAGAGATCGACATGAGTTGAGTATAGTTTTTATCATGAAATGACCCAAGGTGGATAAATATTCAAGGCAAAATGGTGTTTTATAGCATACTTCGAAATTCCCCAGCAGTACTACCTGTTCCAAAAGAATAACAAAAAATATAAACTCACTGAGATTATATTTAAAAAATGAAAGGCTAGATATTTCGCATACTTCACAAAAACTGTAAACATACATTTCTATTAAATTGTCCCAAATCAATATTACTAAAAATAACAAGTAATCAATTACTCCCCTACCTATATTTATATTAGTAATAATTTTATCCTTTTAGTTGCAATATGTATAGTAATAATTCACAACACAATTAGTGTATCTTAATAAGAGTTTTAATTAAATTTTGTTAGCTAAATTAAGAGCTGAAGCATTTCATATCGATCTGAATTATGGGATACTAAATCACCTCACTATGTTAACTATGGGAGGCGAAAATAAATTCATTTAGCGTTGCATAAAACCATACTCAAAAATACAGCCGTCCAAAGGATGATAATGAAATCGGGATTCAAAGCTAGGTACTTAAGTGGTTTCGTGATAGAGAAGAATCTTAGTCAATGAACACTAGTATTTTTCGATTCAGATGAGTGATATCCAGCTATGTAATCCAAGTTACAGTTCATAATGCTTAGCGTCGAAAAACAAATCGGGAAGAAACAGTTGTCCGATCCCTCTTGAATTTAGTGCTTCAACTAAAATACACTATAGTTACCACTCTGACCTCCGAATGAGATAATAACTGGCAAATTAAGATCATAATATGAAATAATCGAGTTTAAAATAAGAACCTGTGAATTCTTGGTTCAAAACACTTTAAATACAGAATAAAAATTAAACTTCATCTTGTAAGTAATACTATCTGGGAAAATAAATTCTAACGACTAAGAGTATTTCACATAACTGATACTAGAAATCGTCTGAATATTCCTGTAAGATATCAATACAATTTATGAAAATAGTGTAAAAAAAACCTCGAAGTCAAACAAGTAACATTCGTTATCACAATACCAACGCTTAAATTGTTAATTACAGTATCCAGAAAGTCCTATAGAAATAAGAGTGCGGTATTACAATAATCAAACAGAGATAACCATAAGAACAAAGCTATGATGTATTCTGAAGAAATTCGGTCGGTTTTTTCAAGACACACGAATCAGCTACACAATTTTTGTTCTATCAAAATGTTTTCCTCCTGTCCAATGAATTCCGTTAGAATATACAACAGTTCGATATATTTTTTCTCTGTTTTTACGGTTATATACACGAATATATACATTATATTTTTATCAAGTACAAAGATAACAATCTTTCTGGGGTTTTTTTTCTGTAAATTCACTGGTCACAACCAAAGACTAGACATCATAATTCAAGAAAAGTGTGATTTCCATGAATACATGTGTTCGTTAAGTTGATTGCTACAAGTGACCAAATGTACAAACAACAAATAAACACGTGAATAACAATTAAATTAACAGTGCATTAATGATAATATCAAACAAAAAAGTATCACGTTACCTTAATTATTAAGTACCTAATTCATTTGAAAGTCATCAAAAAGATGACACATCACATATGCTCATTCACAACCAATGAGTAATATAATTTTGATGGAAATCTACTACAATACAACTATTACTAGATAGCGAAATCAACTTTCATTGGTTATAAACTGTTTATTTAAGTGGAATACGAAGTATGTTCGTCTAACCATGTGATGTTATACCAAGCAGTACAGTAATTAAACAACCTTTATACGCATTTTGGATTGCTGAAGAATGGTTAAATCTCAAAATAAGAAAAATTCGGTGCATCACTTGTAGAGTCGGATAGAGGTTTGTGTATGATACAATCTCTTATATTCCACTTATGTGATAAACGATTGCTGAAAGCGTTTGATATATAAAAATAACAGGTAGTCTGGTGTTTATTTCAAGTTTAAAACTATTATATTGTAAATTGCAAATATTGTATATTGTAAATTTGTATCTGTTAGATTGACTGAGATACATTACGTTAACTGAGTTCATTTAGAACCGAAAGTTCACTTTAATTGAGATTAAGTAAATAAACGGAACAAAGATGTCACTGATTATTATATCCTGTTGAGAAAATATTGTTACTTGCTGAAATCGGCAAGAAAGCGTAGATTGTTGTTAACCTGTTACATAGTCTTACAGCTTTACTTCCCTGATATAAAACATACAATTTAAACTAATACGTCACTGTACCGTGCTTGAAGTCGTTTTTATTCGTCTCTATTTATAAGTGAATCAAATGACATTAGCATCGTGGTTTTGTATAGATTGCTAAAATTTCATAGATTATATTATGGAGTGATTTTAATAAGACCTCCACTGAAAACCAGGAGGCACTATACAGTTGTTCCGAACCAATATGGAACTCCTCAGCAGTGGGTAACCAAATCGAGTGTAAGACAGTTAATCACTATAGTCAATACATGGTCGCGCAATATCGCAAATTGTTTGAATTTAGACACATAGACCATTGTATCCCAGCCCAGTGGTTTAGAGTTTAGGCGTCCGTGCGAAAGACCGAGGGTCCTTTGTTCGAGCCCCGATCGGTTTGTGGGTGCGAATTGCCAACGGGTCTCATACTAATACGAAACTTTTGTTCAGTGCTTTCCAGTTTTCAATAGTGGTATCAAACCAGTTCGTGATGTAAATTATAAATGACAATAATTTACGGATGAATATAGCTAAATAACTATGATGTCACCTGATCGATGGTTAACTTAATGGCAATCGAGAACTTAACAGATTCAAGATCTCTCCACTTGTCTAGACATATATTCTGATATTCAAAACCAAGGGGAATTAACTGACTGAAAGCAAATACGTGAAAGGTATTTTGCATCACCTTATTCACGTTCGTTCAATTCTCAAACACAAGATGACTGAAGAAGTCAAAATAAGATTCTCTATTTTTTTAATAGACTGACGTAGAGTAAACTAAGCTTATTCTCATTCCCTAAGATAATATTTTATGTTAACAGTCAGTTGTAATCCTGATAAGCTCTGAAAGATTTTTGAAACCTACATATGCAACTGGGCAAAGGCAAAGATCATGGAGTCATTTAGACAGATCAAATTTTAATAAGAACTGAAATAGTTTATGCTCCAAAAGTCAACTAAAACATATCTATGCAGAGATCTTTTTCATCAGTCTCTGTTCCATAACCGACAAACTTTTAGACAACTAAGAAATATGATTGTTTTAAACTGAAGATTATTTCTTACACAATCAACGTGTGGATTGACTGAACCAATATTACTCGCTACAGCATTTTACTACCTCAATTTTAGTGATTAATCGTAATATCAACCTAGAACCGATAATACACACGAAAATGACTCAGATAAAAAGGTTAACGAAATTATTTCAATTTAAAGGTAGTTTTTCTTATGTGTTGACCTCAATTAGGGAACTATTAGAAACAGACAGGGCGGTAGAGCAGTGTGTTCGGGTTCTGTGAGATTATCATAACCCAAGATTAGAGATAATTGATGGCATCATTCATAATCAATAACAATAGAGGGGATCCACTGACTCTTTCGCTCCTTTAGATCTTTAGTTTGAAAACCAGTTCACAATTTCTATTCCACGAATGCATTCTCCCCTCTCGAATTATATTGACTATTAAGAGGACTGGTTGAAGAAACTGCTTTCTATAAGTCTGAAACTGATCAACAGTAATAACCTTCGACCCTGACAAGTATCAATAACAAAACCAGAAACCCATTTCCACCCGTAGCCCTTCTAATATTACTACCGGTTTCAAGTCCAGATAGGAAAGTACTGTTGGACAAAGACTTAGCAACCCCATGCCTTACAAAACAACCCTGCCACAAATGCCAATCACAACAAACAATTTAAACCATTAAAACTGTCATGAGTTGAAGGATATTCATTTAGAAGAATTATGATGCCTCATGCAGAAATCCGAGATTCTTCGAAAGCCACGAGGCTGACGTCCCTCTAACAGCCAGAGCAACAATTAATGTAGGTACATATAATGTATGCATAATGCGAGAGACAATGAGGACCAATCAAATAGCTGCAAAAATGGGGAAATACAACTTGACGGTGCTTAGAATAAGTGAAACCCATTGGACGAAAGCTGAAAAGTGCAGGAATGTGAGAGAACTACATGATATAACGAAGAGACTAGAAGGGAAATATAGGGATTCAGAGCGACCAGTCAAGGAAAAGGGAGGTCAAACGGTCACTAAGTCACAAGCAAGATTCCGAAATACAGCACAGAGAACACCAATGCAATGACACTTGATATAGAAGCTCTGGAATTAATAAACTTTCATATAATTGAGCAGCAACATCGATAAACGAGGAGGAGTTGATACGGATGTGAAGGTAAGGGTCGGCAAAACAAAGGCGAAATTCCTACTGTCGTAGAACATCTGGAACTCAAAACAACTGTCAGTCAACATCAAAGTCACAATCTTCAGTACAGACGTCGAAATAGTCCTATTGTACGGAGATGGAACTACGAGAACTACTACAACCATTATCAAAACGGTACACAAGGTACTCAATGTCCGTTGACCGAATACCATCAGTAACAACCTACTGTGGGAGAGAACAAACCAGCTTTCGACTGGAGGTGGGCAGGACATACATTGAAAAAATCATCAAACTTAATCACGAGGCAAGTTTTAACACAGAATCCTCAAGGGAAAAGGAAAAAAAGACCAAGGGACATATTGCATCTGGGTATTAGTGGCAGACACCAAAATAATGAATAGCAACTGGAAAACATTGCCTAGAACAGAGTTCAATAGAGAATCCTTATGGGCGGCCTATGCCGCTCCACAAGGGTAACAAGAGTATGTCAGTGAGTTAACTTCTGAATCTAGTGATCTATACATTTTAAATCCAGTTTATTCACGAGATGATATAATCATCATCCAACCTCTGACTCAATACAATCGAACACTATTGATTTAACGAACACTTTTCACTCCTGTTGTATTTGTAGGCAGTATGAGTATTTGTAAGCAAATATTAAAAATATATGTATTCATAAATATTCTAATATGTTTGAATTAATAAAAAGACGATTAATTGATTTGTCTACAAATAACCATTAGTAGATGATCATTTCTAAATTACATTATCTTTCTTTGTAAGATCAAGTAAACTTTACAATAAATATTTTTAAACTTTTCATTTATTAATAAACAAGTGAATTGATGAGTATCTTCAAAACATTATTAGAAGTGTCAATATGATAGGGTAATTCAATTTGACTGAAATACATAATAAAAACACAAATAGAATTTCCTTTTGAAATGAGAAAAAAAATAATTAAAATGAGATGAATTCTTTCAGTATAAAAACAAACAAACAAACTAGAATTACCTTTAATAATCAACATTTTTAATTGATTTTTAAGTAACCGTTTTTATTAGTATACAGATATTGTATTTCAGTATGTTTGTTTGTTTGTTTATTCGCATACATTCATGAATGAATGTAATACAATTCAATGTATGTGCTGTTAGAGATAATATCGCTTATTCCTTGTCTGTCTATCTATCTATCTATCTAACACTGTATAATTACTAATGTGTAATATATATTTATTACAAAGTGATAATGACCAAAAATAAATTACATAAATGATTCAAACAAAATATATTGGCTCTAATTCAAATGTAATTTTCAATAGGTGTACTTCAACAGTTAACTTATTTATGTCATATATATATATATATATATATATATATATATATATATATATATATATATATATATATATATATATGCTGTATATAGGAATGTTAGTAAATCAGCACAATAATATTAATTTATATAGAATAATACAAATTTTATTTTATTTTGTTAGTACTCTCTCTCTCTCTCATTACTTACTAACAATCTATAATAGTTCAATATCGAAACTTATAAAAAAATAATAGAATTTAACATACTTTATGAGAGAGATATGATGTTGATCAAAAGTTAGTGTGAAAATGTATCAGTATAGTGTAGTAAAGTATTATTTTTTTTAAAAAAAAATGTAATAACACTCTTTTTTCTTTCATGAATGGTTACATTAAAATGTTGAAATTGAATATTATGTGTGTGAAGGAACATTTTGGGGTAATCGATGAAATGGATAATAAAAATGACTTACGGATTAAATTTATAAGTGATTAGGTTAAAAGATAATTACGAATGGTAATCAGTAATGAATTAAACTGATTTATTTGCAAAACACAACCATGAATCGGAAAAGATTTAAAGCAAAGTATAATCAGATAACACCAAAGAGTTTAAAAATAAACTCGTGCTTCCAGGCAAAAACTTTGTCATTAGGTCAATAATGATAATAAAATGAGATGACCTAAATATATATGTACATAAACATGCTTAATTGCAGTTGAAGTTTAAATTACTTGGTCAAATCTTCCTTCAGGTTGTCAAAATTCAGGTAGTCATACAGAATTGATAGCCTATGAGATCAATACATAAACTTGGGTGTGATTTGTGAAATCCTTAAAGAGAATGAAAAAAGGTGTTTTTGGAAAACCAACTCAAATGCAGCTGATAAGATTAAGAAACTTGCTAATGACCTTATCAGGATACATGTAAGCAATTTGACAAGGATGATAAGGTAAATACACTTAACCACTAAGGATTTATAATTGCACACATCTTAAGTACACAATTTTAGAATACTTTTACGCGAAGATTAAAATAAAGTAACATACGTAAAGATCAAGTCATAGCAACAATGTAATGTGTAGTACTTATGAAAAATGCATCAACTAAAATTAGGTATCGGAATATCTTGAAACCAATTGTCGATATGTACGACAAAACAAAGCTGAACTGACAATGACAACTAATATTAGTGATTAAAAAAAATTTATCTAAGAACAAGTTAAAAGATGACTAAGTTTGCCTTCGATCCTAAAATAAATGATTATCAACATTCAACAAACCTCTGTATTGTTCTACTTTAAATACTGATCCTGAAAATAAAGAAATACAAAATATGAACGTGTTCTAAACATGTAACCATCAGAAAACTTACCATAAATGTGAATGTCGCCCTTTGTCTGTTCCAAAACAATGCCGTTCCGTGGAGGTTTCATTGATGTTTGAGTATTATTTGACTGCCGATGAGACCAACCAGTTGGGCGCCAGCCTAGAATAGACCTCAATTTAGAAAGGGTTGATGAACTGTGAAAAGGATCAATCGGTAATCGACTGCCCAATTTCTTTTGATATTCAACAAGGCTTGTCACATTTAATTGCTGCATAGGTAGAACATGAAGTTGAGCTTTGTGAGAACTATCAACGACATATTGAAGCAGTTCTTTGCATATAGTACAACCGCCTTGTGCAGCTAGCTTGATTAAACGATTTTGATTGTTTGGCAACCAAACCTTTAGGTTTAGTTTAGAGGCAAGACCTGGTCACAGATTAATAGACATAAAAAATAAAACTCAATGGAAAATAAAACACAAAAGTTAGCAATCATATATATATATATATATACTACCACACAGAACCTATGAACCAAACAGCTTATTTTGTAGCATAACAAGCACATAAGGAAAGTGCTTCACCAGTTACAGGCACAAAAACAGGGAATACGTGGTGATGATGATTTTATGATTGTATATCGATTTAATTGTTCAAGTTAGACGCCAATTATGTTCGGGTATCCATTACACCAAGGTAAGATGAGTAGCAAAAAAGGAATCTTAAAAATGATAAGATAGGCAGAATCATAAGCCATTTATTTTGTACTCACAAACAACCAGTGTCTGAATAACGTAAGTAAAGTGGTTAAAAGAACTTAATGATAGTTAGCATGAAGCACTGAACCTAGGTCTCCTGATGAAAGGCACTCGTCAACATTAGTTATAGATGGCACTTAGAGAATTCATCAGCACTAAAACATTTGAAAACCATGTTGTCCAGTGCTACAACCAATGGCATTGCCACTAAGCTATCTGGACTGTGAATAACCTCCCGTAAGACTGAGATGAATAAACTAATTAGCCACTACGGGATATGTTGTACAGTATTCAATACTGACCGGGTTTCACCGATAAATGGATTCAAAAAGTCCGTTTGAATTTTGCCAACTTACGTCACCTATAGTGAAGGTGAGATACCCGTCTATCAATTAAAGGACGAGTATACTGCGCGGCAGTTCGACCTGTTCTACTTTACGGCTGGGAGACGTGGCTATTAAGAGTAGAAGAAACTTGTAAGCTACTAGTATTTGATCACAGATGTCTTAGAATTATTGCTAGTATCTTCTGGGATCACCGGGTAAGTAATTGTGAGGTTAAACGCAGGAGTATTAGGGAATGATGGTAAATCAGTTGATGAGGTTGTGAATCTTCATCGACTGAGGCGTTTCGGCCACGTGTTGTGTATGCCTGAACACTGATTACCACGACGCGCAATGCTGACTAGTGTTGGAGATAGATGAGAGAAAGGTAGTGGTGGCCAAAACAAAGCGTGGGATCAGTCACTAACTTCTGGTCTGAGCCAAGGTGGTAGATGTAGACTACCTGGTTGGAGTCTGCACGACTCTCATAACCAGTGATTGGAGACTCTGGGTGAAATGACTCAGAATCGATCACAATGTTGTAGGTGTATATAGTCGTTGCCTTCCTTTAAACTGTGAGATTATAATTGCTTCATACTTTTCTTTCTACGAACCAATTATTTTTCCCTATATCATATCCTTAGATTCAATGTTTATTTATATATATTACGAACATATTACTGCTATAAATTTGGTGTTCACCTTGTTGTGCTAATCAAGTGTTGCAACCGATGCATATAAGTGCCTGGTCCTACTCTGTTACTGATTGACTGATGAAGTCAGGAAAAAAGGACAGGGTCTAAATGGTTTGAAGATCGAATGGTCTGTTGCAGGAATCCAGTAACAACACTTAAAACATAAGTACAAGGAATCATTACCAAGGTTTGACTTGATAATTTCAAAGGAATTGAGCATTGGGTAGATTGTTATAAATAAAAAATAATATATTTGTAATATCCCAATGGGAGGAAGTGGATTACACTGAGTCATGAAACGTCAGAAAATCTAATTTTCCTACTCATTGGGATGTTACAAATATATTATTTCTCTATTTATAAGTATAGGGAGATGGATATACGTACCAAACTGGTCGTAGTAAATTACGAAAACAGATCGACACTAGAATACCGGCGTAGAATAGCATTTTAAAATGAAATTCAAACATTCTCAAGGACCTTCGAAACATTCGTCTAAACAGACTATCCCCCTAGCTGTTCGAAATAGGCGTACGACACAACATGACTACGGCGGTTTAAAAACTTGTTACCGAATTCGAAGAGTTACAGTATTTGTTGAGGGTAGATCTTTAATTAGATATTTATAAAACTTCTTTTTTGATATGTTGTAAGGCAAAGGGACAAATGGTGAATCGAATACTTTTCACATCATTAAAAATGTAATTTCCTCTTCTAATCCTCACCTTTACTGATATGAGCCTTTTTGGTAGTCACCATTTTTAACCGTATCCTTTTGAACGGATAGCCTAATGATTTGGTTGTGAATAAATTCTTTCTTAAAATCTTTGAAACGTGTCAAATCAAACCAATCAATAATCAACTTTATCCTAAAACTATTACGTTGGATGCCGGCTCAGTGGTCTAATGGTTAAGTGCTCGCGCGCGAAGCCAGTAGGTCCTGGGTTCGAGCCCCGCGTGGTGCGGGATCGTGGATGCGCACTGCTGAGGAGTCCCATACTAGGATGAAACGGCCGTCCAGTGCTTCCAGGTTTTCAATGGTGGTCTAGCTTCAACTGACTCATGATTTAAATCTGTGAAAATTTCTAAAAATCTCCACAAACCCCTTCTGATATTACATAATAGTTAAGAAATTATTTTTGGATTATAAGGTGTGTATGGTACAAATAGTGTATTAAGAAAAGCACGTGAGTGAGGAATCTATATACATATAATAGACCTAGATAAATTACCATCATTATTGCGATTATGTACAGTAGGAGAGATTTATAGGGTGGCCGCTAATGCTGTGCATAGTTACCTACTAACGAATATATATCGTATTTTTGTATTAAAAAAACCTGAAAAATAAGATCAACAGACATGGGACTGTCATGTAATGTGTTAAGTTGTGATTTACGAACTTGATGTTTACATACTAAATTTTCGGTTTAAACGATGGAAATGTGTATCAATTTAAGAAATCATCTACTTCGGATCTGAGTTATGTTAGATGGTGTAGACCTTATGACTGAAGTGTTTAAATGACAGGATTCAAAATCGATTGCAGATGGCCAAATGCAATTTCTCTGAAATCTCGAGCGTTGATATAATCTTATGCTTTTTATTTCACCATCTTATTTCCTCTTTTCAAGCCACACATTTTTACGTTGTTTTCGATTTCCCCTTTTATTATTTCGATGCAGTGTAATTAGATCTAAACACAATTGTGCTAAGTTCTATGCTGTTGACGAGTAATGACTAACAGACGATGAATCTATTGAATTTAAACCGATCAATCAATTAATAGTATCCTTAAATCCTCAAACAATAATATAACTCCAGAAATAGAAAATGAGACCAGACATGCCTAATGAGCCTTAAACATTATGGTAATTTGAAATTTAAAAGAAATAAGAATCAAGTTAGTGGAAATACATTTAGTCTTTACCTATGATGTTCAATAACTATCAAGTTAACACCGATTATTTACGATTAAAGGGCGCCTCCAACTAAGATAGCAACCTTCCTAATACTTTCTCGATGTTTTATGGTTGTTGGTTTTTTTCTACTTAAAGGTAAGCGGTAGCTTAAGGTAGTTACAGCACTTGAATTTCAACCATGAGGTCGTAAATTTAATCCTACCTCTGACTACTTTGGATTGGGCAACCTCGCATAAAAGGCATACATGAAAACCAAACACATGAACCATTACTTGTACGGCTTTGAAGAAAATGTAACAAATTCACAATTAACATAGTATTTTAATTGAAAGTTTAAATATGACAGTGATCAACACGTAGATCTTTGTTTAGAAAAATAAATAAGCACTATGAAAATGGAGATTTCTCTATTATTGTGGTGAAATGCGAAAACCTACGTGATTTCTAACACACATACACACACAGCGCTTTTATTCCCAATGGAATATTTATGAGTAAATTGAAAGTAAGAACTTTGTAGAACTATTTGTGAATAAGAAGAAAAAGTAACTAAGATAATACAACTTCCAAAACGTTCTGTTTAAAGTCAGAACTGCTAGTTTTACTGAGATTTGCACTAGTTAAGTGTCATTATATATAAAATTACAAGGAATAAAGCGAGCATTCAAGTATTTTTTATGAAACAAAAAGACATGAAGGAAATTTTCAAAGATAATATAATAAATGTCCAGTTGAATTTTCGTTTCCAGTAAATTGAAATTATGATTGGATAACGCAGTGAAATATTCTTCATTCTTTTTTCATTTGTTAATAAGTTAGTTTGTCACTAAACAAATTAGTTGATTTAAACAAATCCTTCGAAATTATCAAGTCAAACCTTGGTGATGACACTTACAAATCCTTCATTTGTATTTTGGTTGGATGTACGTGTGTGTGTTATTATCGATCTGTATTTCGTCACAATGATGAACATTTTATGTTTACTTTCAATGGGTTTCAGGTTCATTTAAAGACGAAAACCAACAATGGTGAATATTAATGAAATATATCACTAAATATTTGGTACAGATGAGGAATTGATCAAAATTTATTTTAAAAAAATAAGCAACCTTTTTAGTGTTAAGACTTTAAACATGATGTAACATTTTGAACATTTCTTTATAAAACAAAAAGATCCTCAAATTGTTATATCCTAGTGAAGATTAAATTACGAGTAACTTCCGAGAACTATTAATGGACTAATATTTTAAATATAATGTTATTAAATAATTATTCAGTAACTAAACTGTGTATATCCATATTCCTATTATTATAAGCTTCATTTTGACCTATAGATTATTATTGTACGATTTACTGTTCTTAAGTTATACAAAGTTATTTAATTACCGTCTCCCATGTTCACAACTACTTTTTGGCCTGATGTTGTATAAATGTTATTTCCTATTTTATGGTGTGATACGGTCTGTTTGGCTGGTATATGTTTGAAATAAATGATTCGATTAGTGGAAGCTGTTATTGGTGTTCTGGACTTAACTGGACGGGTTAGGCGAGAAAAGAACCAGTAGGACACTAGGCTGATCAGATCAGTCGAACGTCATTAGTTTAGGTACAGTACAAGAGTGAATAAGCCGTATTTCGATTGGCGAATAAATTACGTGATAAAAAACCGCATTTAAAGTCACAATACAAACCATTTTTGCATCATATAAAAAAGCCTGATACAACCTCT